TTGACAAATGACCTTCCACAATGACCTTTGTTCCCTTTGTTCTGATTACTTACCGATTCGCATCCTACTGATGAAGACCACCGGAAGTGACCGAAACGTTGAGTAACACATATCTGCTATTCGGGAACGTTTTGTTATTCGCAATCTTTTCCGGATGTTGTTTGAATGGTTAGCTCCTTGGTTGTCCGAACGGATCACTTCTGGCCGATCGTGTGGTGCACTTTGTCGTCACGTTTCATGCCTGCGCTCTCATCGGCTGCTTGTTCCGTCGTATTAGAGATATGTCCGATACCGTTATGGCATTCATTCACTCTATTTATCTTCTTAAAATTTCTTAAAATCTTCGAGTTTTCCGGTAGATCTTTATATGAATTTTGTTGAAATGTGACAATCAAAATAATTTGCTGTATTACTGACCAAATGAACTAGTTGATCACGGGTCAGTGTTGAGTGCATGAAATAACTTCAGCAACTTCGTTTGCATTCACGAATGATACCGCCCATTGTCGAAAGGACCAATTGTCTTGAAAATTCATTGTTTTCTTACATTCATTCACTTGTTTGCTGTATGGACAAGTTCATCTGTCTTCCCAACACACCGACCACAAATATTGTATTTTCGTCAACATTGGTATTGATCTGTGAGGTTATGATTTGAGTGGGGTGCCTCTCCAGGCGATTTCACCCTCACATGTTCGATAGCGATTAGCGTTTGTGTGAATGGACGATATTTTTTGTGAGCATAGAGCCCAGTTTGCGACTGGTTACTCCTGCCAAGCGGGGAAGCTGTATTAGTTAGGGCACCGGATAGGAAACACACGCATATCAAGACAGGCGGTCTGAATCTCGGCCTGTTTGGGGTGTTGCCAAACGGCAAACCTAAATGGGTCTACGCTCTGTATGAGCCACGAGCAATCAGCTGATGGAAGGAAAAACACGCACATGCGCACCAGTGGTTATGCAATCAATCGACGATGACAAAGTAATGCAGGCCCACTTGTAGCGTGCTTAACCCCCTTCCCCGCTTTTTCCGCATTTCCTCAGGCAACCTTGGATCAGTTGTTGTCCGCTTCTCGAAAATGGTTTGTACCGTTGTATATTGGTAGGCAGCTTTTCTGTCGTCCGGTTCAATACCACGCCTAACCTAGCGGGGCCTCATGTGGTTCACCCCACTCCAAGTCCCGGGGCTTAGGTTGCCGGTTTCCATCACTGAACAGCAAGTCCTCGTGACCATGGGGTTCACTCCGTCTGCTGTTCATCGCACGTTAGTGTATAATATAAAAAAATAAAATACAAAGTAGTGAAAGGAGTAAAATAATTTTACAATTACGTATATATACTCCAGGTCATCTACCCTATCATGCGTGTGATCTTACCCCTGAAGTGTATTTCATACTTGAAAACTCATTTGCGGATTCGGTTTTTCTGTATGGGTCCGTTTCGTGAGCAATCTATAGGTAAATGTTTGCAGAAAGGTGAATACTTTTATCTAATTGGTTTTCTTCGTTTGTACTTTCATTAACTCAGTTTGGTGTTGGTCACCGTGAATCGTGATGATCAGTTCCTTTTTCGTGATTCGTCACTGCCGATTGCTATTCGACTGGAAGACCTCCTGTCTCGTTTGACAAACGAAGAGCTAATTGGTCAAATATCCAAGGGTGGCGCTGGGCCGCGAAACAGTCCCGCACCACCGATCCCCCGACTGGGCATTGCCTCATTTCAGTGGCGTTCTAATCCCGGCGACGGCCCGGGAACATCATTTCCATTACCCATCAACCAAGCGGCCACGTTTGACAAGCAGACTGTACTCAGAGTGGCCCAGGCCATGGGTCTCGAAAATCGAGCCAAGTGGAACTATTTCAGTAAAAAAGGGATCTATGAGGTAATTCATTCAAATAGGAATTGAAGTTTGCCTATATAATTTTGAACGTGTAGTAATATACTTAGCATAGCCTTGGGAAAAGATTTTAGGTTGTTTTGGTAAGCCAGATGTAGTGACTTGGTGTTCAAAAAACAGCCATGGATCGAAGGAACATTTAAGTGTGGTCGTTTGATTATCGATTGCGAAAGTCCGTTCGCTTAGCCAGGTCGTTGATTGACTCAGCATTCGGTCGAGTCTGCAAAATAACTGTAAGACTCGGAGTAGACGGGGATCAAGAATTAGGGGTGTATTCTATTTCGCCTGTTCGCCGAGCTTGGTAATTTGTTTGCAAACGTTTCATCACCAGCCGAGGTGACATTATCAGTGCTTGTGAAGTGGCAGTCTTCTGCTTGTGTCCGTTCGTTCATACATTTGTTTTTCTCCATCGACCATTGTTGTCCCTTGTTCTCTTTGTGTTCGACTGGGTTCGCCGTTAAACTGGTGCTTGGGGGCGAGATTGGTAGGGAGGGGGTTGGGCTGGTTATCCATCCGTCCTGATTGCGATTTCGGTCCGTTCTCAGATCACGCCGTGACCTTTTTTGTTGCGTCATTTGATCCTTGAGTTGCATTGGCGTGTACACGTGATTCTGTTCAATGTGCCTGTTGATTGAGTTGTTTGAGGAGTGCCAAGCTTCGAGAAATTCTCTGGCGTGTTTTGACCGGGTTTGGTCGATAATTTTCACTGAAGCGAAGTCAAACTGATGTCCTTCTTGATCTTCGTGGAGGAAAATCAAAGATAGTGGGTCATGTCTCCTGACTGCCGCTTGGTGTTCACGGATCCTTGTTGACAGTTTTCTCCCAGTTTGTCCGATAAAGTNCAGTTCTTGCATTTTATTTTGTAGATAACACTGCTCTTGTCCTTCTCCATTGTTTTCTCCTTTGGTTTTGACAGAAGTCTCCTTAGACAGGCGGTAGGTTTGTGGGCGACTTGGAGTTCATATGATCTGAGCAGTTTTGCTACTTTTTGATACCCACCATAAGCGTCCCCCGCACCAATTCAGTTCAGTTCAGTTCTTACAACCATTAACCATGCACATTCATTTGCCGGTTTTGGTTGCTGTCTTTAGGTTGGATAAAACAGCAGAGTGAAGGGTGGAATATTGAGAGCAAATTCAAGCAAAAGATAGGGAATTCATATAGACTGAAGTTACAAGAATAAGGAGTAGCTGCACGAGCGCCACTGTTTGCGACATCCAGCCATATCGCTCACTGTCTTTAACCATCGATGACTATGATCTCGGGGTCGGGAAGCCTAACGGGATTTATGTGACCTAGTCTCCTGGTAAGGGTTTTCATACCTTCATGCCAGGTCTTAGTTTGACCGCCCTTCATTTTTTCCAACTGCTGCCTGATTCGGCGAACATCGCTCGCCGTGGCAACCTATCTGGTGACATGCGTAACACATGTCCCAACAATCTATGGAGGTCGACTAATTACGTATTTCAGAACAACAAAGCCTGGTGAAAAAACTCGTTTTCGTTTCTAAGTAATCATGTTCTTACGTAACATTAAATATGGCTAGCAACAAGAACAAAAGAGAATGAGAGATTCCAAACCTGATGGTTCAGATGTGGCTCCAAACGTGAGTGCGTGTGAAATTGTTTGGTGTCAAAATTTCAAGTGGCTGCACACGTGTTGGGATGGATGAAGTGGGCCTTAGAAGGTCAATTCCTTGCATGATTTTCTTCTGGACACACAAAAGGGATCTTGAATCCGAATGCTTCCGTCTTCGGCTGAATGCGATTCTGCATTGTTTTCGATCGCTTACGTCGAAACTTACGTATCGGTCGAGACGAGCTAACCACAGCCCCTGAGTTATTTGACTGAACAATGTGCGAACACACCACGCTCACAATTGTCTTAATTGTGCCTAGCCTCGACCAGGCCGGGTGGTGTTCATGAACGCGATCGGCTAAGCGCCTGGTCGTGCGACCAACACGTAGTCCTACGGGAACAGGTGAATGAATATACACAGAATCTGGCACTCTCCTTCAGCCAGAAACGCTATTTGTTTAGATATAAATGCAGATTTGACTTATGCAGCCTGGAATGTTCTGCTTACTGCCCCCGATGACCTTCTTTCAATAATTTCTGCCTCCCTATCGCCCCAAAACGGCAGATGCATGCGCGCAAACTTCTCAACCAGTCGTATTTCCTTTGACAGGTCCTCGTGTCCTAGCATTGGCTCGCCAATTAATCGTTCTGCTGGTCATTTCGTGCGAAAAAACTGTAAAAATTTGGGTTCACTATCAGTGTTGTCTATGGTACGTATTTCTTTCGCCATTTTACCCAAACAACTAATTAGATAGCAAAGGCTTCAGGGGCGGTCCCAAGCTAAATTTATGGAACGGAAAATCATACTACTCATGATCAGTATACTGAAATTAAGAAGCATAAGGTTTTTTGAGGTAATTTAAATGCGATGGAAATATTTGTGATGACCGAAAAAAGGCATTGTGACAACCGTTGACCGTGTAGCTCAAGGGTTTGAAGTCCGAGCTGGCTGAGTGTCACAAATAGTGGCGCCTATGCATCTACTCATTATCCTTGCAGCTTCTTTTCTCTATCTTCCGCTTGAATTGGCTGTCAACATTCTAATCTTCATTCTGCTGTTTTTTATCCAAATAGGCGGTCAGAAGGCAGCAACGAAAACCGGTGCTAGAATGTGCATGGTTATTGGATGTAAAAACAAACTGAATAAGTCTTATGTGAATACTCCATACATGTAGTTTTGGAAGCGGTGTACCCGTTGATCGTATTCGCTTGAATGTCAATGCATCGGTTGTTGAATTTTGCTTCAGATGTCGTAATTTGGCGGAATTCAACTTTTCTATGAGAATCATTCTATCCTCTTCATTTTGGGGTCTTTGTAAGCTTGTACGTTGATGGTTTACTATCGCGATATTGGTAGCATAAGTTTAACAAGTGTGGATTTAAGTTTATCTAGCGATGACGTCAATCCAAATATCTGATATAATAAGCTCTCGAATGCAACCTATAAATCCAACTGGTAAATTTTACTGGTTGAGGAACAGATATTCAGCCGCAGNCCCCAATTGAATCTATTTTGCTACATTTTTTATTTTGAAATTCCTAACTCAACCCGTGGTGACCAAATTTATGATGTGTGATCCGAGCAAACGTGTGCTCCCCTGGGGACGAACTATGCCCTCCAGAGACTTAATTCCTTCAATCACACAATCAATGCCCAGCTCCCCCGTAGTTGTTCCAATCCAATCGAACAGAATGATGACTTAATTGAAAGTATATTGTACTGCCTTTTTGCATTCAGCAACTGAAATTTGCCGGCCTAAATTGATGCGCTACTTTGAACCGGACAATAGATCACAATACCCCAAAACAGTTAAATAGAATAACACACCCAACTGCTAGCTACCGCCCCCCCCCCCCT